CTTACGTGGAAGTCTTATCATTGTCTATTCTGACTCGTCGCGTCGTAACAATCAGCAATATAATGTTTGGTTTTTCTAAAGAACTTATTTGAGCAGAAAAGATAGAACAATATATTTAACATGAATAAGAGAGATAAGTTGCACAATAATGACCACACCTGCAAGACTAAGCCATGTCATCCCATTGATTTGAATGAATGTCCCCGCGTTCTCTACTGTTGACCTTCTCTTCGTACCAATTGTTGAACATAAATCATCCCAGTAACTATATGTTCGGCTTCAAAGGTTGTGTGGTTAGGGTTTAAAGCCACTGCATGCTGTCACATTGCCCTCCATGTTTCGATAAAGAAACCTGGAAGCTGCTGAGGAGCATGAAACGATTCTGGTACACGTTTTGTCCACAGGCCACCAATCATTTAGATTTAAATACCGAAATATCGGGAATGTATGTAAAAATACTAAAGCTAGGTGCCTTACCACTTACGTAGGACATTTGGCATATGATAGCCGTACCTACCTAAAACGATCTGCTTTGCACCGTAAATGAAGAATGAAAACTCACGTGCGGACAACCAGTATATTGTTAAATATAAAATTTTAGAATATCTTGTAATATCAGAACTACACATCAACTGCTTCATTTTCAAATCCTCCATCAGTTGTCCTTTAATTTCTCTGTGCTTACTCCTATTCACAATCCCTTTCTATTCGCCCTTCTGTTTTCTTCAACTCAGTTTCTTAGCCCTCTGTTTCCATGCATTGCTCTTCTGGTTGGTGCTACATACTACTTATGTCGACGGACATAAGTAGCATACACCACAAACATTTTCATGGTATTTCATCACTGCTGCACGAGAATTCATATATATTACCTCAATCAGATCTCGCCAATTCCAAGACCTTATCAAACCAAGTCTACCATGTGGGTATTTTTAACAATATTTGTCATAATCACACCACTAAGATAGCAGTTATAGAACGTGTGCATGTGGCTAATGGATCTGTTCTTCATTTGATAATTAACCCCAGGCCCAGTAAGACACCGGGTTCTGATTGCAATAATTTCTTACATACATTATTTCAAGACTAGTCACGATTCTGTTCAACACATTCATTCCCATACCCAACTCCATACTGATTAGGAAGATGTTATAATTAGTCCTACATTTAAGTATGGACAGAGACATTGCGATTAACTACCGGCCTGTCAGTCTAATCAGTATAGTAGTCAAGGTACTTTGAAAACATTTTCTGGCTAAGTTACTAAGTCACACAGAATCTTACAATCTGTTGACGCCTGAACAACGTGGGTTTCGGAGTAAGCATTCATACTTAATCAACTTGCTTATTTGGAAAAGAAATTGGACAGCAGCTCAAGTTCACTGTTTGTCTGTCCATGTGATATTTATGGGTTTTAGAAAAGCATTTGATAATTTTTCTCACTCGGGTCTTATGCAGAAGCTCTCGAGCTTTGAAATAACAGATGTCATGCAAGAATCGATAAGAAACGTCCTCTAAGGTCGAAGACGAAGAGCGAGTATAAGTGGGACACTATCTGAATGGAAGCCGGTAAAATGTGATGTATACCAAAGCATTACCTTAGGTTCCCTACTTTTCCTTCTGTATGTCAACCAATTACTGCGACTGATGAAGTCATGGACACTATCGTTTACAGATGGTGTCAAAATCTGTAGGACAGAAAGTAGTAAGGTCGATCATTTTGATCTCCAGCTGACCTGGACGAATTATTCAGATGGTCCTAACATTGGCGCTTAGATGCTGATTCTAGAAAAAGTGCGCTGATGCACTTCAGACATGGTCATAGTTACCAACGGCACATCGCTTCCATGAGTTGATGAGCACAAAGTTTTAGAGGTAAAAGTACTTTATGACTTAAGAGCAACTGCGCATTGCAACTCAGCGGCCGCTACAGGTTTCTGAGCGTTGTGGTCAGTTCACTGAGCATTAAAACGCTTAGATGAGGTGATGATTCGAATTTTTTATCCTATCTATTTAGGATCAGATCTAGAGTGCCATGTCAAAAGCAGTTAGTTGACGTCCTGTTGAAGAAATTAACACACTCGAACGCGTTCAGCGGATGGGGACAAAATTATTAAGGGGTCTTTTCAAACCCCGTAGCGACGAGTGCTTAAAACTCATAAACCTTAATCGTGTCGTAGAAATCGAGGTGACCAGAGATTGGCATACTGTGTCCCTAATAACGATTTGGATGCTAATATTTCTTATCTTTTCGCTCCCTCAAAAAGTAAGGTCACAGCAAGGATGCTGAAATTCCGCGATCTCATAAACTTAGGGTAGTGTTTAGTTTTTCTAATCGAGTAGTCCATGACTGGAGCATTTTAACTACTGGAAAACAAGCTGCAAGGATTGGCAAAGGTCCAACAACCTATCATCCTTATTACATAATACTGAAGACTGAGGACTATAAAATGACTGTCCTACATGTGCTACATGACGGCAAGTGAGTTCCATGTGATGTCGCTTTTTAGCGGTAGAGAATGGATTGACAAGTACCCATTGTCAGTTCTGGAAGTATACATCGTTCTCAGCATTCATCAATTAAATGGTCTACGGGAATAATCTTTGGCCATAAACCTCTTATCACCCTAACAGCACGGTTTCAATAAACATCACTCTCATATAACCAACTTAGTGGCTGCAGTGGACGGATATACAACCGTTCTTGATCTTAAGGAGGAGGTCGACATCATATACGTCGACTTCTCAAAAGCTTTTGATAGTGTCAACCACATATGTCTTATCAATAAGCTAAAGCGATTGGGTATCAACTCACCTTTGATTGGTTGGCTCACTTCACATCTAAATACGACAGTAGATTCCGAGATTGTTAAAGAACTGTGGCTCGAATCATTACCAGCACATATACAACCAAGTATTACGGCTCTGCTCGAGGACACTCTACTCAATCAGGTGACCCTCATAGCAGATGAAATACTGGCATGGACGAGCACCCGAGACAACTACATAGTTGCCTCAACATCACATGCGAACATTGATCTCGATGCCAGTCGATTTACGGCTCACGGGATAGGGATCACTGTATTCACACCCGTCTCAGTTCCCGAGACCGATCCAATGTACCAGAACCCTACGTCCGCCGAACCAGGTCACGCTCTCGTAAAGCCGTAACAACTCTTCCTAAGCGGGCATCTTCCAAGCCACATGAAAAGGCGGTTTCAGAAGCGAGTTCTGGTTGGTGCTGGTTCCACCGTGCCTTCGGCGCCGATGCCCACCACTGTCGAGCTCCCCGCTCATACTAGGCAGGAAATTCCCGAGCCGGCGAGTAAATGCGGCCGTACTCGCCGGCGCTTCACCTCAGGTTGTCCGTTTATTCTACGTGCACGATTATCGCACTAACGCTAGGTACCTAGTGGATACAGGTGTCCAAGTTTCTGTCGTACCCATTGGTGACAGTAAGTCTCAAGCTACAAACCTTCGACTACGCGCTGCGAATGACTCAGTCATTCCTACCTATGGTACACGACAACTTACGGTCAACCTAAGCAACCAACGACAGTATCTGTAGACGTTCATCATCGCCGACGTTCCCACAACCATTCTCGATATCAGTTTCTCACAGCACTATGAATTGCTAGTCGATTCACGTAAGCTGCAACTAATCGATATTTTGTCGTACAGAAAATTCATGGGCTTTAAAGCTCACACAAACGCGTACGGAATCACAGGTGTATTTCATTAGCGTAAAGATTTATTCCATGCTTTATTTCAGAAATTCCTCAAATTAACTACATATCTCGAGGAGATTCCATCGGTGACCAATCGTGTGGTACACCACATAGTCACACGCGGCCCCCCAGCCACAGCAGAACTTCGCCGACTAGCACCGGACAAATTGGCTTTCGCTAAACGCGAGTTTAACAATTTACTAGCTACTGGTGTTATTCGTTCTTCTCATAGTCCCTGGGCCTCGACCCCATCCACAGTACCTTGTGTGTCTGTTCCGTCATCGTGAAATATCAAGTATGAGAATGAGGGAGGAAAAACGTCACAATATATAGAAGTTAAAATAAAGCGATGATCTATAAAATTTCAAAAAAGGAACAGACTCGCAGTTTATAGGTTGGTGTACCAGATCACGTAGAGCTCACCAATGAAGATACCACAGGTATTGTAGTATGACAACACTTAACCAGTAACACCTTTTATTATCGAATCGCACCCACCCAGCGAAATCAAAAGTCAGAACCGAGGAGGTTGGAAGATATACTTGATAGATTATCAATTTATCGAGGAGTGACTGATCTAAACTGACCAGTAAACGCAGACGTTGAGCACGCCGTTCCAACTCACTATTTGGTGCAGATGCATGATCAAGCGCCTTTAGCTAGGCGATTCCATTAAAACTAACATGGTCAGCATTCAATTTCGAGCACTTACAAAGCTATTGATTTCGGGGATTTATTTACTGCTATAGTTTCTCACATTCTGAAGTCTTACGCTATCTGTGACACAAATGCCTTGTGAGCAAACCTTGCACTTGTAACGTTGGAGCGCGTTTCCGGACAGTTCGACGGAATAGCTTTCCACGTAATCTCCAACAGTTTTATTTGCTGTCGTATAAAGTACAGAAACATAGTATTTCCTCCTCACTCCGAAAGAATAAGGACACTCTGGAGGGTATCCAACGAAATCAGGATGTGCAGACGCAAAACCGGAGAACAGACTGCAAGTACACCTCTTCTTCAAGAATGGTGAAATGTCAGAATTCGCTTGAAGATGAGCTAGTCGAAGAGACTTCTCAGAATTCTTTTAAGAGAAAACGTGACATATTTTTAAGAACTATGAACAGTATCTCACATTAATTTAATAATTTTTTTTCCGTTAAATATACCTAGGATTTTAACTAGAGGCATCGGTGATTCACTGCTACTGGATACGGAAACATGTCAAGCGAAAGCCTTTTTTATTCCGTCTATAACCATTTGAACCATTGGAGACAATTCGTGAGAGCGGCTGCATCAGATAATACGTTACTTTCTTGTGGCTATGGCGGTTGATGTGCATAAAGAGGTTTCGCGTACAAAATTTATTGATAGAATAGGTACCGCATTTTCTGACTATAATAACCTTGGTAGATGTAAATAATGAAGACTACACTCGAGAATTATTAAGACCTCCAGATATCAAGGAGGATGTGAAACTAATGCAGGAACGTAGTCGCGTTTCACTCATATTACGTTCTGCATATTTTCGGAAAGAATTGGAAAAGATTGTGGCATCTTCATTAAAATCTGGGTGTCTTAACGCTAATGTTATTGCCCTCAAGCAAATTATTGAGTATCTGACACCACAAACTCGATTAGGATCTTCTGCTTTCACAAGAGGTACGCCATTGTTTCTATAGTTTTGTTACATGGAAGGTTAGTTCTACACACTGCTCTTGTATGTACCGTACTTAATGTTGTTTCAGACCCCGACTAAATGTTATGCTTGATATGACTCGGAAATTCCATTCAGTCCTATGTTATACTGTCACTTCTTTACTGACTCCTAAATAGATACCGGATTTGACTGTTTAATGTGACAAGATTTTTACCTGAGACTAATGTGTCAGATAAAAGTGAATGTTTGTGATACAGCAGTTGAATTATTAAGTTTAAATTATCAACTGGCCCTAATTGCGCGAATAACTAAATCTGTTTTTATTATCAGTGTTGTCATTCATGCACGTCACTTCAAGCCAAGTGATACTAAAATACCTAACAATTATAGAGTCGCGGCAGTGAGTCGTCAGTATTATCTATCCCAACGAGTGTAACGTTTTTCGAGATCCTGCTTGCAAAACGGTATATGTTGGCTTCACTATCTCAATAGAATCAATTTCACATAATCCTATTTTGTATACTGACCAACGTAGGGTTGTGTATGGTTTTGTCTGAAGCTTGGTAGGGAAAACCTTTTAATCACTTGGTTAATTGTACACAACGTAGAGTCTGGCACGTATCAGTCCAAGTTTCTATACCACATAACGAGATAAATTTATCAAGTAGTAAAAGTATCATCAGTAAAATCAGGCTTAGACGATACAATACGGAAAGAAAGAATAAGTCTGTCGATTCGGAAAAGTCAAAGGTAGTTTTGAAATTCAGGATCTAAGGGAAGGCAAGTAATAGCTGAATCTGCTCCATTGCTACTGATCCTATGCTATCTTTGATGAGATCTCTCACTTTAGGCTTATAATTATCACAAAACTAGTAAAAATCATGACGGTCTATTACAAGGGTGAACTAGTTGCTTTACTAACCACACTACTACAAAGATCAAAGTATAACCATGGAAGTAGTCCCGTTATCCAGTTAACATCAATTCCGACTGTTGCTACCACATTGACGTGGTGGTTGGGCTTGCCTATAGCAATGAACCAATCAAGCTAATTTTTTCTGGAAACATAGTGAAACTATAGATCAACAGTAGAGTAAATAATCTTAAAAGGTCAGTGCCAGTTGTGAAATACTTGAACCAAGTTTTAGGTGGACTTGAGTTAGCAAATAATCATTTAGAAAATGTCTGACTTTTGCGCCTGTAATCATCAGTCAGTCAGTCAGTTACAACGTAGAACTTCGTACGTACGTACATCAGTTCGAGTTGTCATACCACATTAGCACAGAGATGAAGTTGTCGATTCAAATCCCATATTGGTAGAAGTAGTAAGAGTATAAGCATTATGTGAAAGATAAGGGTTTGAAGATGTTATTGAAGGAGTGTAATACAGTGAAATAAATTTGCAAAGAGAAAAAGGATAGGGACATGAAGAATTCAAAAGGTTAGAATTTGGTGGAACACAAAGAGTGGATACACCTTCGCCATTGCAAACGATTTTGAGCCATGTCATTCAAGGTCTCTAACCATCGGTAGCTATCATCTCGCGAATCCCAACCAGGTAGTCTACACCTACCAACATGGCTCAGTCCAATTGTCAGTGACTTCATTGTTTTGTGCCACGTTTTGGTCTGGCCGCCCCTAGCTTTCTTCCAACCTACTCCTACACCATGAAACATTGCACGTCGGGGCAGTCGGTGGTTGGGCATACGTAACACATGTCCCAGCCATCTCAACTGATGAAGTTTCACTACTTCATCAATCGATTTGCCATCCTTACCTAGTACCCGTTTCCTAACATCTGCATTACTTACCCGGTGGTCCCAGGTTATACGAGCAATCCTTCGAAGACACCTGTGATCAAAAACTAGTAGCCTACGAATATCCTCTACTCTTATCGGCCATGTTTCACTGCCATAAAGTAGGACGGAACGGACTGCTGCACAGTAAACCCGTCCTTTTGTTGCTAGACGGATATCTCGCCTACGCCATAAATGACGCAAGGTGGGGAAAGCTAGACGAGCCTTTTGTATCCGCGCTGAGATTTCGTCATACACCAGACCACAAGGGCTGATGAGACTCCCAAGATAAGTGAAGCTGTCAACACGCTCAACTACTTCACTTCCTATCATTAGTTCAGGTGTCGATGCAACCCAATCCTGAAGTAACATTTTGCATTTCGAGGGGGAGAATCACATCCCGAACATGCCTGTATTGTTGCTTATAGTGGTCACAAAACTCTACATTTTGTCATCGTCTTCACCAAATAGAACTATGTCATCGGCGTATTCTAAGTCAACAAATAAGCCTCCCGGTAAAATTTCAACTCCTGGAGGTTTAGCTGATGAAAGTGTTATCTCCAAAAGCATGTCGACGACAAAGTTAAACAGGAATGGGGAGAGTGGACAGCCCTGACGAACACCACTTGAGGTAATCATTTCTGATGACAGTTCGCCATAGGCTCTAACTCGACCAGTTGTGTTCGAGTAGAGAGCCTTTATGAGGTTAATGTACTTCTTTGGTACTTCTTTCACTGACAAACACTGCCATAGAACCTCACGACCAACGGAGTGAATGCCGTCTTAAGGTCAAGAAATACTACTATTGTGGGTCGTCTGAATGTATGTCTATGTTCTAGGACCTGACGTAGGGTGAATATCTGGTCTATGCAACCACGTCCAGGTCGGAAACCAGCCTGGTTTTCTCTAGTCTGTTCTTCACGAGCTTTGGTTAGGCGTCCAAGTATTATTGAATCTAATATTTTGGACACTATATTAGTCAAACTGATTCCTCTGTGATTGTCACAGGAGGACTTTTGTCCTTTCTTATAGACTGGCACAATCAGTGATTGGGACCGGTTCGATGGAATTACGTCCAGTTCCCAGATTCTACCTAAGACCTCAGTCAATCTCATTGCTAGTACTGGACCACCATCCTTAAAAATCTCAGGGGTAAACTTGTCAGGGCCTGCTGCTGTCCCTCGCTTCAGATTTCCTATAGCTTTTTCAACCTCGTAGAGGGTTGGAGGACTTACATCAATTCGCCATTCAGGAAGACTGGGGATCGTGGGTAATTGAAGTATGGCTGAAGGCCAGTTGAGCTGATCCTTAAAGTGTTCTGCCCATCGATTCAATCTCCTGGATTGAGAATGAATGATATGCCCATCTTTGTCTGAGATAGTTTCGCTAATAGTTGGGTTCCTAATGCCGGTTTCTTTAATAAGTTTGAATAGCTGTCTGCTGTTACCTATTGCCGCTGCCTTTTCCATCTCTCTTGATTTCGCTACCCACCACTGTTCACGATCATTACGTAGGCTTCTTATTAGCCTTCGCTTAAGCTGACTCCGCTCTTCGTTATGTTCAGAGCCAGGTGGGATGAGTTTTCGAGCATCTATCAGTGCGGTAAATGCTGCCGAGATCCATTGTTTCTCCCTGACCTTATGGTTTACCTTACTAGCGGATATCACTGCTGATTCCACAGCTTTTCGGATGTCGTTCCACGCTGCCTCGGGGTGGGCACAACTTACATGTCTGTCTAACTTTTTCCAGTTGTTCCTGAAATATATTTTTAGGAAACACCTTACTGTCGTCACACCTCTGTACAGTCGGCGGTACTACTTCGCCTCCGGACCTTGGGATTGCTGCTTTTATTCTTACCGCTCTTCAACCGACCTGGCTGGCATCGTAGGACCTCGAGGAACGATTGTTCCAGCCAGCATAGCTCGATTGCTTCATCACGATAGGCAAGCCCGACCACCACGTCAAGGTAGAAGCAACAGTCGGGCCAGGTGAAAAAGAAACCCATAAACATATATATATATATATATATATATATATATAATCCACAACCCAAACAGTTGAATGATCAGAAAAGGTATGTCATACACTTGAAAATCATTAATACAGTTCAAATAATAAAAAAAACTAGAACAATCAAATGCCAATAATCAAAGTAGTTCACCTACTTGAAAAGTTGATCCAGTAATTCAGATAATCTGTTTACATTGTCTTGTGGTTTAAAATGAGAATATGTAATCATTATGTTGTATATAAATGTTTTTAACAGCTGTTTTTTAACATCCAGTCAAATACTGAAATACATCGTTTATCTTTATTTTAATTGTACTACAGAGGACTGTACACTTAGAAATCGTAACTACCGTATTCTATAAAAGTTAGCCACACTAATATAGAGATAATCGCTTTTTCATCTAGAATCGGGTAAATTAGACTTACCGATGTAATATTTGGTACATTATTTGTGGTTGGTTATTAGTTTTATTGATGTATTCTGGGCATTACATTGCGACGAACTATTGTATTTCATTTAATAATCTTCAGGTGCTACCGTCCCTGTAGTACCGATTAATGATTTACGCACTGCTCAACTTGGCAGCTATGTTAAAGGAGAGCGCCTTATACGATGCAAATTGGCTTCTGTCTACCGATTAGTTGACATCTTTGGTTGGAATACAGGAATCAATAATCATATTACGGTCAGTTATACTGCTTTTCATGATCTTTGTATTGTGAACATTTTATATTTGTGTAAATGTCTGTATTGAAAGATGAAATCTAGTCAGAGTCAATATCTTTGGCAGTCACCGTTCTATGTACTGTAGCAATATCAGATTTCCATAAGCCATCAATTGAACAGTTCTTAAAACAGTTCTTTAGGAACTTAAGTGTAAACATGTAATCATGTAAACAATTTCGTAGACAATCAGTCACAATATTAATTTTCAAGGATTGTAATGTGAAGTATTAGTAGGTACGTTTATTGTCAACCAGTTTCTCATCAATAGATCTTTCTTTAAAATCAGTTTGCTTGCCAAAATGTCACCGCTTGTAAAGTAATTATGGTTTTAGAAACTAACGATTGAGTTAAATTCCTGCGTTCTTAGTGGGATTCCTGTTCATTCTTCCATTCCGTAGCAAAAGCACTTAGGAAATATGAATATGTAGTTTTGTGTTCTAAACACTAGATTTCCATTTATTGTGTCTATGATTCAATCACCCACTAATATTCGAACAGACTAATGTTGTCATAAATCCTTACAATTATTGTGGCTCATTTCTCATACCATAAATTTGTGGGTATCTGTTCAGTCGTGCGACTTTTTTTATTTCTAAACAGTCTAGTTAATGGTGACAAGCTACAATCCTTAGTTTGTCAATGTACGCTATTCCGTGACTTTTGATAGACAGTGAAAAAATTGTTCATGAAGTGACTGTAGAAGTTGAACATATATAAGTTAATTGGATTGATATTGAAGGTGTACTTTGAGCCTTGAGATGATGTCGAAAGGTAGTTTTAATATTACTATATTCTATAAATTGAACAGTTTTGAGATATGATATCAAGCTATCTAAAGTTTACATCGAAGATACCTATCGCGAAACATTCTGATCGTTTTGTTCTTTGACTATCGAACTCTTCCTTTTGCTGATGTTTGCGAAACGCTTCATTGGGTGTCACCCATACTTTGTATCATTTGATTCCCTTATCAATCACCATTCAGTTTTTTTGGACAGGAACATGTTGCTACTAGTAATGCTAACTATAAGATACGTGCATGTTTGTTTATTAAGCTACTATATATCGTGTGATAATTATCTTCAATTTATCGGATGGTAGCGAAAGCCACTTGTCAGTTGATGTCTGATATGTCTAGAATGATTGATTTAGTTTGAATAGCGTTGTATCTGAAATGTTAATATACATAACCATCTGTTGTTTAATCGGAGCTGGCTTTAGACCTAGATGTATAATTCAAACATATTCACTCTTCGGGTTTCGAAATGTAGGGATACATACCGACACTTGAATACAGTTGTATTTTTTGATTTGCTTTCGACTTTGTTGATCAGGAAGTTTAATCTCGGTATCTGTCTCTAAAAAAACCTGCCAAGGAAGTACATAAACCTTTTGGATACTCTCTACTCGAATACTATAGATTAACGCAAGGCTTATGGAGAATTGTCGTTTGAGCTGGCTACGTTAAGTGGCGTTTGTCAAGGTTGCCCATTATCCCACTTTTTGAAAAAATTTCATCCTAGATGTCCCTGAAATCATATGCGGTAAGATATGACTCACTATAGATATATGTAGAATACGACTCAAGAAGACGAACCATAGTAAATTTCGGTCAGTCAGTCACGACGTAGAACTTCGTACGTACGTACATCAGTTCGAGTTGCCATACCACATTAGCACAGAGATGAAGTTGTCGATTCAAATCCCATATTGGTAGAAGTAGTAAGAGTATAAGCATTATGTGAAAGATAAGGGTTTGAAGATGTTATTGAAGGAGTGTAATACAGTGAAATAAATTTGCAAAGAGAAAAAGGATAGGGACATGAAGAATTCAAAAGGTTAGAATTTGGTGGAACACAAAGAGTGGATACACCTTCGCCATTGCAAACGATTTTGAGCCATGTCATTCAAGGTCTCTAACCATCGGTAGCTATCATCTCGCGAATCCCAACCAGGTAGTCTACACCTACCAACATGGCTCAGTCCAATTGTCAGTGACTTCATTGTTTTGTGCCACGTTTTGGTCTGGCCGCCCCTAGCTTTCTTCCAACCTACTCCTACACCATGAAACATTGCACGTCGGGGCAGTCGGTGGTTGGGCATACGTAACACATGTCCCAGCCATCTCAACTGATGAAGTTTCACTACTTCATCAATCGATTTGCCATCCTTACCTAGTACCCGTTTCCTAACATCTGCATTACTTACCCGGTGGTCCCAGGTTATACGAGCAATCCTTCGAAGACACCTGTGATCAAAAACTAGTAGCCTACGAATATCCTCTACTCTTATCGGCCATGTTTCACTGCCATAAAGTAGGACGGAACGGACTGCTGCACAGTAAACCCGTCCTTTTGTTGCTAGACGGATATCTCGCCTACGCCATAAATGACGCAAGGTGGGGAAAGCTAGACGAGCCTTTTGTATCCGCGCTGAGATTTCGTCATACACCAGACCACAAGGGCTGATGAGACTCCCAAGATAAGTGAAGCTGTCAACACGCTCAACTACTTCACTTCCTATCATTAGTTCAGGTGTCGATGCAACCCAATCCTGAAGTAACATTTTGCATTTCGAGGGGGAGAATCACATCCCGAACATGCCTGTATTGTTGCTTATAGTGGTCACAAAACTCTACATTTTGTCATCGTCTTCACCAAATAGAACTATGTCATCGGCGTATTCTAAGTCAACAAATAAGCCTCCCGGTAAAATTTCAACTCCTGGAGGTTTAGCTGATGAAAGTGTTATCTCCAAAAGCATGTCGACGACAAAGTTAAACAGGAATGGGGAGAGTGGACAGCCCTGACGAACACCACTTGAGGTAATCATTTCTGATGACAGTTCGCCATAGGCTCTAACTCGACCAGTTGTGTTCGAGTAGAGAGCCTTTATGAGGTTAATGTACTTCTTTGGTACTTCTTTCACTGACAAACACTGCCATAGAACCTCACGACCAACGGAGTGAATGCCGTCTTAAGGTCAAGAAATACTACTATTGTGGGTCGTCTGAATGTATGTCTATGTTCTAGGACCTGACGTAGGGTGAATATCTGGTCTATGCAACCACGTCCAGGTCGGAAACCAGCCTGGTTTTCTCTAGTCTGTTCTTCACGAGCTTTGGTTAGGCGTCCAAGTATTATTGAATCTAATATTTTGGACACTATATTAGTCAAACTGATTCCTCTGTGATTGTCACAGGAGGACTTTTGTCCTTTCTTATAGACTGGCACAATCAGTGATTGGGACCGGTTCGATGGAATTACGTCCAGTTCCCAGATTCTACCTAAGACCTCAGTCAATCTCATTGCTAGTACTGGACCACCATCCTTAAAAATCTCAGGGGTAAACTTGTCAGGGCCTGCTGCTGTCCCTCGCTTCAGATTTCCTATAGCTTTTTCAACCTCGTAGAGGGTTGGAGGACTTACATCAATTCGCCATTCAAGAAGACTGGGGATCGTGGGTAATTGAAGTATGGCTGAAGGCCAGTTGAGCTGATCCTTAAAGTGTTCTGCCCATCGATTCAATCTCCTGGATTGAGAATGAATGATATGCCCATCTTTGTCTGAGATAGTTTCGCTAATAGTTGGGTTCCTAATGCCGGTTTCTTTAATAAGTTTGAATAGTTGTCTGCTGTTACCTATTGCCGCTGCCTTTTCCATCTCTCTTGATTTCGCTACCCACCACTGTTCACGATCATTACGTAGGCTTCTTATTAGCCTTCGCTTAAGCTGACTCCGCTCTTCGTTATGTTCAGAGCCAGGTGGGATGAGTTTTCGAGCATCTATCAGTGCGGTAAATGCTGCCGAGATCCATTGTTTCTCCCTGACCTTATGGTTTACCTTACTAGCGGATATCACTGCTGATTCCACAGCTTTTCGGATGTCGTTCCACGCTGCCTCGGGGTGGGCACAACTTACATGTCTGTCTAACTTTTTCCAGTTGTTCCTGAAATATATTCTTAGCTGGCCTATCATTAAGTAGAACCCTTAGAGGCTTCCCTGCAGTGTCTTTCCTACGTCCAGTAAGACGCAGGCAGATGCGTGCTCGCACTAGAGCATGATCTGAATCTAAACATGTGCTCCAGAATGAGCGACAGTCTTCTATCGAGACCCTCCATCGGTGGCTGATAGCGATGTGATTTAATTGGGTCCAACGTTGGGACGAATTCGGGGGTTGCCATGTCAAAAGATGTTTTTCCTTATGCTTAAAGTTAGTATTTGCAAGAAATAGGCGGTTATCTGAGCACAGCTGAAACAGACGGTCGCCAATATCTGTTCTTTTCGCCATGACACCATAAGATCCACCCAGGTATCTTTCCCTTTCACTTAGTTTACCTACTTGAGCATTAAAGTCACCTGCTACTATTACTACATCAGAACGCCTAGCTTTTCGGAGAAGGTCAGAAAGTTTCCTGTAGAACTCATCTTTTATATCGTCTGAGCTGCAGTCAGTGGGAGAGTAGGCAGAGACGACGAGTTTCCCTATCTTTCCGGGTCCTTACTGATCCGTTTAGTCGGACAGCGCATAGACGACTGTCTACTGGGATCCAGTCTAAAAGAGCTAGTTCTGCCCTAGAACTTGATGCTACACCTACTCCAGCGAGGCCACGGGAAGCAGCATTAGGGCTTCCAGATACACGAAGTGTGTATCGAGATGAATATTTGTTTTGATTAGGTGAGGTCAAATGAATAGCACTACTTGGATCTTGTATGCGCGTTTCGGAGACGCAGCACACATCGATGGTGTAAGATTCTAGAGTCCTAGCTAAGGAAGCCTGTTGTCCTATTTGGCACAATGTTCGGACATTAAAAGTTCCTATATGTATTTTAGAGCGTGGTTTCAGGAGACCAGGAATAACGTTCCGTTTACTCGAATCGTTTGCCCTAGCGGTGCGAGGTGATAAAAGGACGTGCGAAGGGTTAGTCGTGGAGATAAGAGTGTTATTAGGTGTAGGAATTTGTTGAAAGTGACCAACTTGGTCTCGTGTGCAGTTATGGGTATGAGGGCTAGTATCACTTCCCGGCTGCCCACACCGTGGAAGGGTATTTCTTGAGGGACCTGAAAAAGAAGTTGGATTAGAGTTGGTCATAATGACCTGGGAGCGTGACTGCAGTGCCCAAGGGACAACTGCTTGAGGCCGGTCACGCACGGCCTTTTTGTGAGGGATTTTTGACGTGTTAGCTCCGTTCTTCAAAGGACCTTACCGCCGGAGACGGAAATCCGTGGGATAAGGCGAGGTGTGCATTTTTAGGGTCGACCTTTTCTAACCCCACCCCTCCTTGTGGGAAGGCAGCATCGCTGTTATGCTGGTTGTCTGAAGGAAACACCTTACTGCCGCCACACCTCTGTACAGTCGGCAGTACGACTTCGCCTTCGGACCTTGGGATTGCTACTTTTAGTCTTACCGCTCTTCAACCGACCTGTTCCAGCCAGCATAGCCCGATTGGATCATCACGATAGGCAAGCCCGACCACCACGTCAAGGTAGCAGCAACGGTCGGGCATAGTAAATTTAGTGTGATTTTGTTTCGTATCTGCTGTAAGTAGGTATGAGAGTTAAGCGACTTCGTCTATGACTTTCAAATATTTATTGAACTGTCATTAACGATTGATATTATGTATATTACGAAGAAACATATGAGTTGTGTCTTCATTTACTCTGTTTAGTTATTGGTAGTTGTTCGAGTAATTTGTATAATCGCCAACCAGTCTCCATTGTTTTCTAAGTAAAATATTTATAAACTGAGCCAATAAATGGATTTAGATATTTTCTATAAGATGTAAATATCTGATTTCATCAAATTGTCACCTTAAACTTTTATTCTAGGCTCGGGTGTCTCGAGATACTGATGAATACTTGATCAATCCCATTGGTTTATTGTACAACGAACTAACCGCCTCTTCTCTCATAAAAATTAACCTTGAAGGTAAATAATATGAATAAATTTTAAACTGATCATTAGAGTACTGACGATTTTATAGTCATTTCCCTACCATATACTGTGATTCGTATATACTTAGCACTTTCAAGTTTATTTGTGTTCTATCTTCTACCTGATTTAAATATATATTCAGGAGTTATCATAGCCCCCAAATGCCATTGTATGACCGAGAGTGGGGGAAGGCCGCCCTCCCCACTCGAAATGCTCTCACACGGCCACGCGTATACATTCGTTGCTAGGGAAGCTCTACTTACTACTTTCTCACAGAAAGGGTGTTGTCTACGAAATTGAGAGGATGAAAAGCGAATGTCCAGCGCTTTAACCGGGTTGGTGGACACGGGAAGTCCACCTAGGGGAGTTGGAAAACCCTGATTCCAAACTAATGGTGCACATGGTCTCCAGGATCCTGACGGAGCAAATGGCGTATGAACCTATTGTTGATCACCGGCTACCATGGGACTGCATCTGCTTACGATGCTCCACTGCCTTGTGGATCAGACCTCTAGGTTAAAGGTTCCTGGTGTGGCCCCCATAAGAAAACCACCTGCTTCGGTCTGGGCACCTGAGCAGTATCACAGCCCTCACACGAATCAGGCTAAGGCATTGGTTTAAGTTGTTAGTTTGAGAAAATCTATAAATACAGGAGGAAATTAGTGTTGGTTTCGTTTTTAGGCAGATGTCTCTAGTTAGCTGTTCTTGGTTTTTAAAAATATGGACTATGAGAACAGAATAGGTTACCCATTTACGATTGATATGTAAAAATATTTTATCGAAATATTACCCTTCCCAAACCATTTCCATTCTTGTTAGGAAACTTGTGGGGTTTTAATGTCAAAGGTTCACATTTCTCTCGGTTGATTTATAACACCTTACCGATCATGCACACAACTTATACTGTAGTGAACAAGAACACTAGTTGGGGACAATCGAATGTATTTAGATATAAATTACAGACTATCTCGCTAAACTCTGATAACCATACAGCGAACAGTTAATTTGCGAAATAATCATCAATTGTCTCAATCTTCACTGTTCCCTCTGTAAATATCAATCCATCTTCTCTAATTTCATTGTTTGTGCATTTTCCTACCAATTGCGCTTCGTTTCAGTTCTTTCCTTATCGGTCTTCTGCCAAAATACATTCTATGTCTAGCCATCACCATATACTACTTATATGTATATAAGTAGACCACACTACAATACTTGTGTATCATATATTATACCTATAATTTTTAAACTTCATCTGTTCTTTTTTATGCTTGGTTCATTACTACTACTCTTCAACTTCTTTGGACTTAATATCATTAGTTTTCTCCGCTGATATGATGGGTAGCAACTTATACAAACAAGGAACTGTGCAAGGTCTTAAACTGTTGATTACTTACTTACTTACGCCTGTTACCCCTCGTCGAGGAGCATAGGCCGCTCACCGGCATTCTCCATCGTGTGAGTTTTGGATAATGTTGACAATCTTTTCAGGAACTCCATAGTGTCGAAGAAGTTTCCATAATGTTCTCCTATCCACTCTGTCAAACGCCTTCTCATAGTCGATGAAGTTGACGTATAGTGATGAGTTCCACTCAGCTGATTGTTCAACGATGATCCGTAGTGTCGCAATCTAGTCTGTGCACGACCGATCCTTACGGAATCCAGCCTGATGATCCCTAAGTTCGGCGTCTACTGCGTCTTTCATCCGATTCAGCAGCACTCTGTTGAAAACTTTCCCTGGTACTGATAACAAACTGATGCCTTTGTAGTTCTCACATTTGCTCAGATCTCCTTTCTTGGGTATCTTGATGAGATATCCTTCTTTCCAGTCCGTCAGCACTTGTTCCTCTTCCCAAATCTTGTTGAATAGAAGGTGAAGCATGTTTGCAGTTATTTCAATGTCTGACTTCAGTGCTTCTGCTGGTATATTGTCAGGTCCTGCCGCCTTCCCACTTTTGATTTGTCTGGTGACCATCTTGACTTCTTCGATCGTTGGTGGAGTGACATCTATTGGAAGGTAAGTGTGGGCTGCTTCGATGTTCGGTGGATTCAATGGGGCTGGTCTATTCAGCAGTTCCTCGAAGTATTCTGGCCATCTTTTCCTCTGTTCTTAAATCTCAGTGATTGTCTTTCCTTTTTTGTCCTTGACTGGTCTCTCTAGTTTGCTATATCTCCCTGCCAATTTCCTCGTATCATATAGTTGTTTCATATTCCATTCTCTTGCAGCTTTTTCCGCCGCCGTTGCTAGTTCTCCCATGTATTTCTGCTTGTCGGCTTTAATGCTTTTCTTCACTTCTCTGTTTGCTTCTGCGTAGTCTGCTTGTGCTTTGACTTTCTCTGCTCGTGTTCGGCTGTTGTTAATTGCTAGTTTCTTGTTCTTCCTTTCTTGAATTTTGTCCAGGGTTCCCATAGAGATCCATTCCTTGTGATGATGCTTCTTAGGACCAAGAACCTCCTGACACGTTGAAGTTAGTGCTTCTTTTATGCCTTTCCAGTTGTCCTCCAAAGTAGTTTCTTGTTCTTTCAGTAGATCCTGTAGAGCTTGGAACCTGTTGTTGAGAGTTATCTTGAATTCATGGAGTTTGTCAGTATCTCGAAGGAAGGCTGTATTAAACCTTTGTAGTGCTGTTTGTCCAGTTGTCCAGTGTTTCTTTAGCTTCAGTCTCATCTTGGCCACAACCAGGTGGTGATCTGAAGCTATGTCAGCTCCTCTCCGGGTTCTCACATCTTCCATTGATCTTCGGAATTTTTTGTTGATACAGATGTGATCAATCTGGTTCTCTGTGGTGTGATCCGGTGAGATCCATGTGGCTGTGTGTATGCGTTTGTGTGGGAATATTGTGCCGCCTATAACCAATTTGTTGAAAGCACATAGGTTTGCAAGTCTCTCCCCATTTTCATTTCTCTCTCCTAGTCCATGTCGTCCAATTACATCTTCATATCCTGTGTTGTCCACTCCAACTTTAGCATTTAGATCTCCCATAAGGATGGTGAGGTCCTTTCGTGAGCACTTTGCTATAATTGATTGCAGCCTTTCATAGAACTGATCTTTATCATCGTCGTTGCTATCATTGGTGGGTGCATAACATTGGATAACATTCATTGTGATCCCTTGCTTCTTTGTTCTGAATGATGCTTTGATTATCCTGGGTCCATGAGATTCCCATCCCACAAGTGCATTTCGTGCTTCTCTGGACAGCATTAGAGCAACTCCCTGACTGTCGATGGCTAGATAGATTTGGAACTATTCTTACTGCTGGTTACAAACTTAAATTATGCGCTTAACTAGTAAATTTGATTATATTCTGAACTTGAATATGTTATATATATATATATATATATATATATATATATATATATATATATATAATTCCCCCTATTGTTATTGTCATTGTAATTCAGTAAAATTAGGTCACTTTCAATTGTTTTTAAAACTGTAAGCTATTTAGTGAACGCAATGTTTTGTTATATATATATATATATATATATATATATATATATATATATATATATATATATAATAAGTTCACCTATTCCTTGGTTTTGTTCGTATTTTTTTTCTATTTGTATCAATAATGTACGCTTCCTAAATAGTACTGATTTTGACTTCATCTGAAACATGGATGTGATTGTGTTGACCTTTAGTTAAATTAAAAACATCAGCTAGATGTGGCTGTAAATAAGGGAGACAGTAAATGATAGACAGGGCATAATTCAAGAGTGGTAAAGCGTATAACAATAGTTCATAGGTCAAAATAAAGCTCATAATAAGGGGAACATGAATATGAACATTTTAGTTATCTAACAATTATACGATATAATTATACGCATAGTATTGGTCCATAAGTGGATCTCAAAGTTACCATTCACTATCCTTATCGGAAAATAACGTAAGTCCAAAAGCTGAAGCATCTGCAGCTACAATGAAATGCATAAACTGGTCATAGTGCGCTATTAATAATGCCGAGCTAATAATCGTCTTGAGTTTGCAACAAACAACTTCACGTTCTTTTGTTCAATTCCAAGTGGTGTTCTTATTCAGAAGACAATTCAGTGGGTCTCGAATGTCATGCATCGACGAAACGAATGTCGAGTAATAGCTAATTAATCCTAAAAATGATCATAGGGCGGAGACCGTAGTAGGAGTAAGCATCAGTCGTATAGCTCGGGTATTTTCGGGACCTGGTCGGCGGCCTTCGGCATCAAAGATGAAACCCGATTACTTAAGTGACTTTGAAGAACTAATTCTTATTGACGCATTGTAGCACGGCCGTCGTTCTTTGTTGTATCTCTTCTAACGAAGTGGCAACAATTAAGATATAGTCAAGATAGATTGTGATCCCGGAACACCCGATAGGATGGTATCCATTAGTTGCTGCAAAATAGATGGGACTATTTTAACTTTCAGTCGTAGATGATTATACTGAAACAACCAACGGTGGGTATTAATGGTCAGCAGTTCTCTCGATTTTTTAGCAACTTCCACTTGTAAATAAGCATCAGCATGGTCCAACTTTACGAAGATTTTCCCATCAGTTAGCATAATATTTTTGAAAGGTCACTGGGTATCGTTCATCTGCATTCCGCATGACTAATAGTAAATTGAAGTATTTTATTTTCTCTTTGCAATTAAGATATTTTTAGGTATTTATTTATTTCACAAGGAGTTTTTTGTGGAGATTTAGTAATTTTATCGTTAAGATCATGAGTCAATTGAAGCTAGACAATCGTGGAAAACCTGGAAGAACTGGACGGCCGTTTCATCCTATTATGGGACTCCTCAGCAATGCGCATCCACGGACCCGCTCTCGCGAGATTCGAACCCAGGACCTACCATTCTCGAGCCAGAGCCCTTAACCGATAGACCACTGAGCTGGCATCCAACGGTGTTAATGTCTAACCTCAACCAATCCACGAAATTGCGCAACCAACTTCCAATGTACTGAGGTAGATACCTGTCTCTACCTGACATGGATTAGCTCCACTGGCCACGACTTCTTCGTGGATGCGCACTGCTGAGGAGTCCCATAATAGGACGAAACGGCCGTCCAGTACTTCCAGGTTTTCCACGGTGGTCTAGCTTCAATTGACTCATGATCTTAACTATAAAATTTATTTATTTATTGTTTATAAGCCTTATGGTTCTGTCTGAATAAATTATGCCTGAATATAATTTTCGCACATCTATTTGAAAAGGACAAAATTTAGCTAGACCTAGTTATGTCTTATGTACGATACAGAAAGTGTTGTCATCAATATACAGTCATGCTTTCAGATATATCCTCCTGTTTTGGATATTTTATAGTAACACTATGTTATGTGTATCTGTTCTGAAATTTGTTGCAATAACCCATGTTTTCACATAATTAATTAACTTACTTGCAGTTCTACACTTACCTTTACTAATGATAGTTAAAAGGGAGAAAAATATCCAGTGGTCATCTAAAATAAGTCAAAGTTTACTTAGCAACTAATGTGTAAATACTTTTTTTAACTTTAGGGTCTATTTTGGTTCAAGGATCTGTTGATCTAGGCATCGATAGGCAGAGTTGGATGTTGCATGCAGCTGTTCACAGTGCCAGACCAGATGTCAGGTGTATTATTCATCTAAGTACTTCAGCTGCAGTAGCAGTAAGTTCATTTTTGTTCAACAATTACTAACACTTTACATTTTTATTTCTACGTAACCGTTAACCTTCTAGGAAGTCAATGTACTCAGAAATCGGTTTAGCATTGGTATATTATGTAGGTTCTTTTTTCATAAGAATGGGAATTTGAAATCCATTAGGTTCCCATGATAATCCAAATAACCACAAAGCAAACACGAAAATTACTTCTGTTAGTAAAACATTTACAAACTTCAGTTATCGGGGCGTTAGATGTTTGCTGTCCAGTCAGCTGTTTTTTTCTTGTCATCACTTATTTCTGCTACTAGTAGTAACCTTTTTTATAAGATGACAAAATGCTACAGGTTCGATTCTATTATCTTTTCCTATTTACGTAGGTAAACTGATTCTTGGTAATTGGATTTATGGACAGGGCCTTACTGGATCATCATTTTTTTACTTGAGGTTTGGCTATAAAATTTTAAATTAAGTATTAACGTAGTGTTAATTAGCGATATTTATTATGTAGTCGTCAAGGAAAGGTTATGAAAATCGCTATGGTTGTTGATCGAAATAAGATTATTTTATTAAAATCATGGACCGATGTAGGTTAAACTACCACTGACAAACTAAGGGCTATTTAGTCCTAGTATAAAACTCAGCGGTGCGCATCCACGATCCTTTAAGCGGGAGTTGTGAAAGCCTAACCTCTAGATCACTGGAACGCAATCGTGGATGCGCACTTGAGTAGTCTAATACTAGAACTAAATGACCGTCCATTGTTTCCAAGTTTTCGATGCTTGTGTAACTTAGATCGGTTCATGATTTCAATAAAACCCAACATTCTTCGCAATCTCGTACTGAAAATCATGTAATCTAAAATATATGAAGTTCAGTAGATTTAAATCGGTTCATGACATTCACTTAAATTTGATTGGGTTTTGAGTTATATAATCTAATTTACCTAAATTACAATAATTTTCTAAATTTATTTTAATTACTCATTATTATGCTGTCGCGTTGATTTGTTATGTCAGTTAGTCAGTAATGAGCGATGTTGGACCTTGGACAAATACTTATCGGTCCAAGTTGCCACATCACAGCATAACAGTATCATATTAACAAGACCGCGGTAATAGTCGTATTCATATTAATAATAGTTATAGAGATTAGAAATATGGTTCAATAAAAACGAATGAATTCTCAGATTAAAAGTATTTAGTAATATTGAAACTGATAGCAAGGATCTAGGGCTAGTGAAAAATCAGTGCATTTACACCGCTGACTGATTGTGATCCACATCTCTAAACAGTGATCACGATTATAACTCTGACCCTCAGGGGGTAGTCCCTCATCTACCTATACAGTTCAGTCTAACAGTTCATGGCTTCATGAACTGATGTTGAGCCTTAGTTTAATTGTCCCTAGTTTTCTTTCAGATTACTCTAGTACCAGCTATGATACATGTTTCAACCATTTCATTCGATAAAAATTCACAGCTTCATCAGTCGGCATCACATATTTACCTTACTTCTTATGTCCGATTTCAGCATTGCTCATTCAGTGTTTCCAACATACCTGCACATTATTTCAAAGACATCTATGATCAAATGCCAATGACCTTTAATTGTCCTCTGCTTTCAAGGGCCTTTTTTCATAATCATGACGTAAAACAGAGCAAACTACGATCAGTGTGCCCAATCACTTCACTCCCTATCAATAGTTTAGGAATTGACATGGATCACTCTTGAAATAACACTGCTTTTAGAAGTGGGTGAAACTCATCTCAAACATGTTTACGTTGTTACTCAAGACATCTAAAATACTCTTCAGGCCTTTTTTTACTATCATGGTCGATATTTCTATTGGCGTAAGCACACTGAATACACCAAATTTAGTCTGTGACTAATATTCAGTATTAAAAAGCTGTTTTTTTGAAGAAAGTTATAAGACTATTATAACCATATCATCACACTGTTTGACAATTTTAACGATGTTAATGTTACTACAACTGTAGTGTATGTTACTTATACCTGTCGACATAATGTTATGACTTGTGGCCGAGTGGATGCCTAGTTAACGTATGACGTGATAAGACCGCCAGTCAGAGAACAGCGAATTGTCGATTGGAACAGTGACACACGATAACTGTACGAGCAGTCCAGAGTACGTATCGGTCCTGCTTCTGCCTAGCCAAGCCAGTTAAGTTCAGAACACCAATAACAGCCTCTGTGGTATGAATCATTGTATTTCAAACACATAAGTAGTATGTAACACCAGTCGGAGGTGAAAACCCTAGCAACAGAAGGTTAAGAAGATCAAGTTGAAGAGAATAGAAACGGAAATAGAAGGCTATTGCAGATGGGAAGAATCATAAAGCATGTGAAGGGCAGACGATAGAAATTCGCAAATGAAGTGTTCAGTGTATGGTTCTCTCATTTTACCAAGATATTCTGTGATTTTGTATTAAAATACATTGGTTGTCCCCACCTATGTTCTTGTTCACTACACTACTACTACCTCTACAAATAATAATAGTTAATAATAGCAGTAATGACGATAATGGTAGTAATGACTGCTACCACTAATGGTAACAATGGTAATAACAGCAATAATAATAATAGTAGCAATAATAATAATCGATTTAAGGTTTTTTGTGTAAAATCTTTTTAGTTGTGAGGTTCTTCCGGTTGCTATATATATATATATATATATATATATATATATATACAATTTGTGAATTCCGATCAGGAAACATTTTCTTTATCCTATTGTTTGTTGTGTGGATAACATTCATAGTGTAACGATTTAACTTTAACACCCAATTTTTTTCAGGTATCATGTACCAATGCAGGTCTTTTACCAATCAGCCAAGAAGCCATGATTTTGGGTGAGACAGCTGTTTACGACCCGTTAATTGTTTTGAATAATCTTCAGCAAAATGGAGAAGAAGACTTAGACTCTCGCAAAAAGCGTCATTTTCATGCACAGAAAGCAGAAATATCTCGGATACTTTCGGAAAGATCTCCCAGTTGTATGGTTTTATTGGTTCGTAGTTATGGTCTCTTAGCTTTGGGACAGTCAATTGAGGAAGCATGGTTTATTGCTTTTACATCCATGTTAGCGTGCGAAGCACAGGTTGGTTTGAAATAATATTGAGGAATCGTTAGAATCTCATTGCTCACTCTTTAGTATATATCAACTTTTTTTGAAGTATACATTCACACTTGGATTATATTTTAAAGTGATATTTATTTTACTGTTTATTATTCTTGTCATAAATTGAAAATTACATGACCACATTACTCCACGAGTTACGGTACCATTTTAATTCTTGTTTGTTTATTGATTTATGGGTTTTTCTTGTAATATATTGTTCAGTGTCATGGTATTTTCTTTTTGTTTGCACTGTTTGATGTATGTGCTTATGCTGTTATAGTTACGTTTGGCGAGCATTAGTCTGGATGAATTGGTTATCCCTACCAAAGAAGCTCAAGAAGCCGCCCACTCAGTAGGACGTACTCCTTCTGCTGTTCAACTGCGAGTTGGCGAAGTCACTGGTAGTTCAGGTTGGAGGCGTGGAGAACTTGAATTCGAGGCATTAATGCGTAGATTGGACTCTGCTGGATACCATACAGGTTATGTTTACCGACTAAGTCAAGTGCGTCAGGGTTCAACTACTGCATCAACTCTCCAGCGTCCGCCAGCAGATTTGCTGGATAATAACTCCACTCAACAATCTCGTGATGCCGCAGCCCATGTCCGTCGTGCAGCTAGTCTTGGTCGTGGTCTTCGTGGCCTCAAAGATGTAGAGATACCTCCTACAGTTTCATCTTTTGCAACTTCATACTATGGGGATGAGGAAAGTAGGTAAGTAGGAGAGAGTACTTATTTTCTTCTATACTGTTTGTTCTTGGCCATATCACCGTAAAGATTTGTTGAATTCTTGTTTCAGAGCTACTGCTATTGCTGAGATGAAGGCCAAGACACTCTCGCTTTCACGTGCACACTGGCTGAGCACACCGAATGCGTACCTTCGGGAAGAGATTGAAGAAGTGGGTACTCCGAATCCTAAAAAGATAACCCATTGGACAGAGGGGTCAGATACCAATAAAACACGTACCGGTGGAGTAGCTGTCCCGTTGGTTGATCCCAATCAATTCGCCTTGCAGGGTTCGGATCCACAGGAGTTTAAGAATCAGCAGAAGAAGGTAATATTTCAAGTTAAAAAGTAATAGTAGGTTTATATACATATATTATTCGTGATCACTCAGAACAAGGTCATCTTGAGTACTGTTAGATGTTATAAGGGCGGTGTAGACGTCCTAATTGCTCTACTATTCAAGGATGTTCCTTCTTAAGAGGGACCCGAAAAGGAAACTAGATTGAAGGTGATCATAGAAATCCGAAAGCGTGGCCTCAGAGCGTAAGCGGCAACCGCTCGAGTCCGGTCACACGACCAGTTTGTGGTTGGTGTTTGATGTGTTAGCTCCGCCTTTTTTCAGGCCTTACTACCAGCATTGGGAAGCACTGATCCCATGTAGGGTGTGCAATTTTAAGCCTCGATATTTTCAAATTCCCTCCCGTTGTGAAGAGAGAGCATCACTCCAGATCCTAGTGGTCTAGTGAAAACACCATATTGTCTTGTCTTTTCACCAGAGTACAGTCGGAAGTACAACTGCACCTTCGGGCCTTAAGTTTTATACTTTTTATTATGCCACTCTCTAATCAACTTGCTTGAAGTGGTAGGACCCAAAGAAGCGAGTATTTTAACCAATCTACGTTGACTGAGTCATCACTATAGGTGAACCCAACCACCACACCAAAATAGTAGCTACAGTCTGGTCAGGAGGCCCTGGATATCTATGAGGTGAGACAAATCTAGTGGCTTAAACATGCTGTACTCGATGTGCATTGCCAAGCAGAGATAGACTAAGACGAAATACCTTTACAATACTCCTTGTCTAACGTTGGTTCTCCTATTGGTGTCTTTTCTCAATAAACATTACCTGCAAAATAAATAAAACCACTTCAGTTAATTTACAGTATTGTCACCTTAGTTTTAACAGACACTTAACCAGTTTATATTTATTTACGTACATTACAGATATGCATTTGATGTGTAGTGATGTTTTAAGTGTTATTCTTGAAATCATTTGTAGAGAACATAAATTTGAAACACTGTATTTTAAATGCACATTATTTTTTACCTGATATCTCGTTGTATTAGCTGTTCAATTCATTTATAGATCCACCGTTTCAAACGTATAAAAGTGTTCAACTTTGCTTTATCATTTAATCTGTTTGAAACTTGAAGTTTACAAATTGTTCATGTTATCTTAGGTGAAAGATAAATATTACAAGGATGTAAGATCTGCTGGACCAAAATCTCGAATTTTGCAAGGTATTGACCTAGAAGATGAGTCAGATGAGACTGATGGGGGTATCGCATCACCTAAGGTTGTCAGTCCGAAAGGCACACTGCTTCGATTGGATCCTTCCAACCCTCCGTCTCTGGAACCTGGACATGTTGTTGTGGTTGGGGCAGCTAGTAAAGGTATCATTAATCGTAATCAGAGACACAATGTTGGAGTTTACCAGTCTGTATACTCGCCAAATCCATTTGATAGGATGACAGACGAAGATCTTGAGCGCTACAAAGAAAATGTTGAGCGTAAAGCCAAAGGCTTACCCTCATTAGAGGAGGAAGAGGCAAGAGCTCGCATAGAGGAAGCTCGGCAGGCTGTGGTGGTGGCACGAGAGGCGATGGAAGCAGCTTCTCGTATGGGTTCAGAACAAAATTGTAAGCTTTTTCATTTGTTGACACTGATAATGTTTCTAAATTTTCTCGTAACTAGTATTAATTCATTTCAAGTATTCTGTATAAAACAACATGTTCAGTAACTCAATCAAAGGTTGACAAGCAACCCTTTCATATTACCGCAAACTGTGTTTATAAATTTACATGTACCTACCAAAGCAGCTAGACTGGCCGAACAGAAAGGAGGGCATATCTTAGATTTTTTTGAACATGTTCCTAAAAGCCTCGAAATAAGAGAAAGAAAGACTCTAGATAGTGTAATTACTAAACATCTTGATACATGACATCAGGTCGATACTTTGCAATCTTTCAAGGTGATTAATAAATAGCTAAACTCCAGTCTTCTGAAGTTTTGCTGAAGCCGTTGCTATCAGGCGTTAAAAACCTGATTCATGTGTTCAAAAGGAGATGGTTATTAATCTTTCCTTGCATTAGTGACAAATGTTCCTTCGTTGCATCTAAAAACATTTACTAAAAAACTCTTTCTTGAATTTACTCCATCATTGAGTTTTGTATTTCGACTATGTTCCAGATTAGTAATTTTATTTTATTAACTGAGCCTTACTCATTTTATTCTTATCAACGTTTACTCATTTTGTAATCACTTGTTTATGACCGTTTGAACTTATGTTATAACCAGTGTTGTAGAATATTTTTCTACATAAGGTATAATTTACAATATTCAGTTTATTAAGTTTATTTACACCCTTACTATACTGAATTAACATAACTGCCAACTAAGCTCTTTCATGTAAGTAATTCAAATCCACTTTGTAATTACAGTTTTTAAATATCACAGGTTGTAAGCAGCTGGCAAGAACCAACGAAATAAAATGAATTCATGCTATTCTGCTAGAATCTTTGTTCTTGCTCTTTTCAAATATTATGAGTTGTATTTCGTTGGTCTATCTCATTGAAATGAATTAACTGGGAAGAATAATCATAGGATTATGATCTCATTTGATTTTTTGCTTTTAATACGCTGAACAGAAATCCATTGTAATTTGTGAATTTCTAGCATCACAAGTCACTTTGGTTGATTTTTATGTGCTCAATATTGAATATTGACTCAGTGTGTCAATGTCAACTTTATAATTCATACGTTCTGATCTCTTGATAAAATTAAATAAACCTAGGAAACTTTAAGCTTGGAAACATTGTTTTATAATACTTTCATCCCTTACAGTTTCCCGACACATTTGTACTTATAACTTATTAGTCTATTGTGCAGTATAAAAGTACTGTTCATTATTGGCTGTGATCTCATACACTTAGCGCAACTCAATCTCGTTCACTCAGTGAAAATGTTAGTGTTTCCAATATTAGCGTGATAGATATTGTCATTCGTTTCATCACTCTCAACGAATTGCACTTGTGTGTCATGAGGTGATAGTGTTGATCCTCTTTTTGAATTGAGATTACAGTTATTTTTATTTCGTATAGTTACACCACAAAATTATGGAGTATTTGCTACGTGAAGACAGTAATAACTCATTAGACATACCTGAATATTTATACCAGTAATTCAGTTAAGGTTTATACTGATAATCTTGACTGAATTTGATTTTGAAGCTCTCAATATTCTGAAAATTGGATAAAAGTTTCTCCTTGCTATTTTCATATCTTAGATCATGGAGAATTTAGTTTAGACGTAAGTCGTATTCATGCAGTTCGGTCAGATACCAGTGGAGCTGAAGCTAGTCATGATGATACTGAAAAAGAGGTTAGTTATGTTTATTTATTCTAAGGCGTTCACGATTTTGAGTAATAATTAACAACAGTTAAACATTGAAAGTATGAATACCAGGTTTATTTCTCGATCAAAATTCAAAAAAACCTAGTGTTTCGTCACAAATACGTATCATTATACACAAAACATACGTCAAACTTCAGAAAAAGGAAACTTGATAAGTTATTAGTGGATTCTGATGATTTATTTTTATTTATTTTCATCATTTTCTATGAGGTAGTTGCACTCCAAATATTGCTCTAAACAATTATTGGTATCATTGTAGTATTATTTTACCCATACCCGACTTATTTATAGACCAAAATCGAAATAACAGTCAGTAATTGAATAACTACGTGTTAATAACCCAGAAGTTAGTGTTAAACATTCAAAACTTAAATAAAATTCATAAATCATAATATTGGAAGTCCCTTTAATTCACAATATGTTACAAAATCAGCAAACCAAAGATTTATAAACAAAATGTCCCAGTTAGATCTACGCAATGATCAGTTTACCTCACCACATGATTGTCGGCTAATTAGAAGTAGGACATAACGTTTTGGCCAACGACTATGCAGATCTACTTGATACAATAACATTGTTGACCGAAATCCTAATCTCTTAACTTTATTAGAAACCGATTACAAACGACCACTACTTATGTCCTCGAAGAATATCCACTTTTATTTTTATAGTACGATATACCGTCAAATTGACAGGATAGAAATGAGTCTACAGATACTGCCTAAATGATTTCTCAATTCACTCTTTGTTGTTTTATTTTTAATCAAACCACTCGAATGTTCATTTGGTTAGCTGAAGAGATTAGTTTCATTTTGAAAAACCAGTGAAAATCAGGAACCAATAAACAAGTATTTGGCCTAACTTCTAACAAAGTAGAGTGCGCCTGCATCTAATCCACGGACAGAATGTGGAACCTTCAGGTTTCACTGAGAGTGTCCTCGAAGAATATCCACGTTTATTTTATAGTACGATACACTGTCAAATTGACAGAATAGAAATGAATCTATAACTACTGCCTTTGCAGATAATTTTATTTTTCTACATTATTCCTCAAGTCACATATTTGGAGTGTGGTTATAAATCTCATATATTCTTCTCTCTCCTTTTAGACTAGAAAAAATGACAGTATATTAGAAAGGAAAAAGAAACGTCGTTTCAAAATGCCTTCATTTGCTCGAAAATCCAAGATTAAAGAATCAAAAGAAAAGAAATGAATAGAACTCATACGTTGATATTTGGGCTACTTATTTATTTATAAGTAGGCAATATATCAATAGCTTCAACATTTTTTCAGCATTAGAAGCATGCGCCAAAATGAACTTAGTATGAAATACTTTATGGTTGTTTTCAATTGCTTTCTTCATATCTGTGCGCTCGGCTTTTTGTCTGTCTGATTAATAATTTTCAATTGCATACGCCGTTATTATTTGGGCTTACATCGAATATAATTCACCTCACCTAAATTTTCCTGCAATTTCGAATATATAGATAAGACAAATAAAAAGGAACGAATCGAATGTCAAAATGGGAATTTTCACTATATAGATAAGATATGGATTTAGATCCTTTCATTTCTACGTTTAATCCCTAATCTACTAACTTATGACTTGTTGTGGAATTCCTTGAAATTTATGTTGATCTGTCACAGTGGCTCGTTTGTTTAATTTTGATTTTTCTTGCTTTGTTAAGAATTATGCACTATTTGTTCTTGCGAATGAGTAAATAAAATCCTGATTTTGTCTATAGTTGGTTGTTACTCCTGTGTAAGTGCATTAGATTAAACTGAAGTTTAGTTTTTATACTGAATCCACTATGGCTTCATGTATAATCTTTCATTTTCTATATTGATTTATTATTTGCATCTATAAACGCTTTTTTATTTATAAGCTTCAGTCTTGCTACACGAAGATTCTGGTAAATTACATTCTTCAGGATATCCATACCAAAAGTTCGAAAAATATTCGGACACGTTTTTAATCTTGGTTATATTTTGGTTTGCTTCGATCTATTGCTTAGCGGTCAGTGAAACGCAAAGTAAAACCTGACACATTTGTATTGGTTCGTGTTACCACACCACATCAGCGTAGTGAAATAAAATTACCGAAAGTAGTTGAGTTAGTTACAGCATCAGTATTAGCAGTAATAGAAAAGATAGATTATAGAAAGAAAAAAAATTCAAGGAGATTTCAGGATTCATGATTTAAGTAAAGGTTAAGAGTGGGTGTATCTGCGCTATGTCTATCGATTCTGAGCCATATCATCCGATATCTCCAACCACTGATTGCAGTAATTACGCTAGTCTAATTGATCAATCTGGCCAGTTTGTTTGATTTTTGGAAATTTTCCTAGCTCTAATAACTCGGTGGCTAGTTAAATTTCAGTGCGAATAGAAATAGCTTGTTTAGTGTTTACCAAATTATTCTATAAGTAGCATGTACAAATTGTTTATTTACCTATAGATAGACAGGTATTTCACCAATTATTTCTCTTAGTATAGCTCTACTACCATGAAATGTGACTACTGAAAATATAATATATGTGTTACTTAGATATATTTTATCATACACATGCTCACCATCGTTCATTTGATTGCCAACATTAAAAATAGGTTGGGAAAAGGTTAAATGTAACTAGATAACAACATCATACTAGTACATAGGAATGATTGACTTTTTGTCTTAACGGTATATCTCGGCACTGGTTTATGTGGCTAAATTTAACAAGACGACCACTGTCAATATATTTTGATCATGGAATATGACTCAATCAGTTTCGACGATGCACATACATTCATTCTTTATTCTAGATCATTCATTGTTCGATCTAATTTGTTGCTTTTCCCTTTATCTCACATTTTTCTTATCCGTGTGGCTATTTCTTTTTAGTAACCGCACTTTACTCTTTTTTTCCATTGCTGACACAATGTATGAAATTTTAGATCGATAGAGATTTGTGCTGATTACTACGTTGATGATCCGTCTAATTTTCACAGTTGTCTCGAGATTGGCACTCACAACTGGCATGTTTTTAGGCTAGTGATACACAGAGGAATTGTTTATCTGGCAGGTCAACTTTAGTTTTTTTTCATGCAAATCCATTTATTAACTTGAAAGTACCAAGGACACTTATTAAAGCAGAATCACATGAATTCACTATATTTCGTTATTTTCTCACCGACTGCTTACAACTTGTAATATTTCAAGATAAAGAATCACAATTGGAAATCAGCATATTTATGGAAATAAAGTTTATCAGAAGTTAGTGTACAAATGTATCAGTATGGTGTGGTAAGGATACGTAAGAAATATATAATAAATAAATCGAAATGTTAGAACTGGAATATCATATGTTAAGATCAGTTCCGAAATATCGTCCAGCTTAGTAACAAAAGACCACAGGGTGGTAAATAAGTGTTTCTATAATGAAATACACTGGGTAATCGTAATGGTCTTTCACCAGTTGACCACTTAGATCTCCACTCTCAGTGAAACCTGAAGGTTCCACATTCTGTCCGTGGATTAGATGCAGGCGCACTCTACTTTGTTAGAAGTTAGGCCAAATACTTGTTTATTGGTTCCTGATTTTCACTGGTTTTTCAAAATGAAACTAATCTCTTCAGCTAACCAAATGAACATTCGAGTGGTTTGATTAAAAATAAAACAACAAAGAGTGAATTGAGAAATCATTTAGGCAGTATCTGTAGACTCATTTCTATCCTGTCAATTTGACGGCATATCGTACTATAAAAATAAAAGTGGATATTCTTCGAGGACATAAGTAGTAGTCGTTTGTAATCGGTTTCTAATAAAGTTAAGAGATTAGGATTTCGGTCAACAATGTTATTGTATCAAGTAGATCTGCATAGTCGTTGGCCAAAACGTTATGTCCTACTTCTAATTAGCCGACAATCTTGTGGTGAGGTAAACTGATCATTGCGTAGATCTAACTGGGACATTTTGTTTATAAATCTTTGGTTTGCTGATTTTGTAACATATTGTGAATTAGAGGGACTTCCAATATTATGGTTTATGGATTTTATCTGAGGTTTCAATTTATGTGACTCGAAATTATCGGAGTCATCTCTACAATAAATTTACTAGGACAAGGTATATAAAGCAATATTATTCGCCATTTGAATTTTTTCAAGCTTCATTCTAATGTACAGTGATATTTATATAAGTACATTATTCAATCAGTCAAGTATAATAATCGCCGTTGTACAACAGATGTGCATGAATTCGGAAGCCATGGAAGATGCGATTGGTAATCTATTTCTATTTTAAATGTTTGGAGGTGGTAGTCAGGAAGGCTTAAATCTTAGTTTTTTTTGGTGGTTAACACTGATCAACAAAATATATCCTCAATAATGAATGAAATGATACCTAGTCGGAAATTCTGTATAATAGAGCATGATTATTAAGAGTAGGGGGTATTCATGGATTACTTATGCTTGATCATATGTTTTTGAACCATTACTCGTGTTTTTTTGAACCACTGAGTCAGCTAACCTGGAGTTTCGGATAAGCTACCAAGTAAGTGTACTAAATCGGCTGATGAAGTTTTGTCAATCTAGTTGATTGGGACATGTGTTACGTAAGTCCAACGACTGTCTATCTTGATGGGCGATGTTTTTTAATGTAAGAATAGGTTGGAAGAGAATTTGCGGCGGCAAAATCAAGACGTATCAGTTCAAGTAGTCAATGACTATTGGAGTGACCAAATATAGATAGATGAAGACTACGTGATTAGGATCCGAAGATTATCATCAACAATAGTTAGAGAATTTGTGTGACATGACTCGAAAGTATGTGCAGGTGCATTAACTCTTGTATTCAAGTCCCGGGATTTCAAAATCTTATATCTTTAATCCTTTATCTATACCCAACCTTTTCTAATATTATTATTATTACGGATACAGTTAGTACTTCTGTTACTACGGGGTTGGCTTTGACAACTTGATCTCACTATGTTAATGTGATATAGGAGCTTCGACCAATGAATTTGTGTTAGGTTTTATGTTTCAACATAACTGATCGACTGATTCTACGGTGATAAGTTTCATAACAATTTAATTCACCACGTTCGTATATATTTGTACAGCAGTGATACACTGGGCCACCAATTCGTTATTTATTCTCTTTACATTTGTATTAAAAAAGTTTAATAGATTTAAGATTTATGGTTAAAAACGGATAATAAATCGACAACCAAATTCTATTCGTTTCAAATTTTCCAAAGCCATAGCCATCAAATACCTTAAGCCTTATTTATTTATTGATAAGTCTTGGTTATTGTCGTTTTTCCCCGTCGTCACTAATAAGTCTTGTTGATTGATCGCTATATTCGGATCCTAAGCTAGTCTCGTAACCTCCAAGCTAGAACTACACAGCGACTTGAACACGAGAGAAAAGGCACAAAATATGCGGGAAGCACTTTACTCCAAAGGTTCATTTATGTACAGAAAATATATGGCTTTTATAGTATTTTAGAAGTCCTTGGGTTTTCCTGAAAATTTTAGAATACTAGTAAATATAGTAGCAGTATAGTACAGCCAATCAGAACCTCTACATGTGACTTCATTTTCGCGATATTTCTAGCAAAACATCTAATCAAACGTTGATTGGATAAAATGCTTCCTAATGTTTCCTGAGCTTGCCATGTCTATCGCGAGAGATTTTCATGATCATCCTGACAGTGTCCAAAATAAAACAGATGAAAATCTTTCCTTACCATGATGACTTTATCTTCAGTTCATCACGAAATCCTTGCAGTTTCTTCACTCTATCTTATTTTAACGGTATCATTTCATCCAAATTCATAACTGTATATCTAACTGACAGATCTCAACTCATGGGACATCCGCACAATGCCTGAGGATCAGACAAATAGCAACGGAAATGAGGAGATGGAACTTCACGGTTGTCGAAATTAGTGAAACCCATTAGACTTAAGATGAACAGGAAAGATCATCTTCGGGAGAGGTGCTGTTTACTCCAGCCATAAAGACAAAATTGCTTTGCACACACAAAGAGTTGCACAGATGCTGTGTAAAAAAACACAAAATGAACTTATAGGATGGGAATCTGATAGATCCATTATCATCAAAGCATCCTTCAAAACAAAGGAAGAGGGAATCACAATAAATATCCAATGTTATACACCCATCAAGATAGCTCTCAACAACAGGTTTCAAGCCTTACAAGTTCTACTTACAGAAGAAGTAACTGTGATGGGGGACAACTGGAAAAGGGACCAAAGAAACACTAATTCAAACGTGTCAGGACATGCTTGGCCGTATGAAGCATCATAAGGATGGATCTGTATAGAGACCTAGTGAAGGATTTAAGAAATGGATAAAAAGAAGACAGCAATTAAAAACAGTCGAACGAGAACAGAGAATATCAAGGCACTGACCGAATACACTAAAGGAAATAAGAGAGTGAAGAGGAGAATTTTAGTCGACGAGCAGAAATATGTTAAAGACCCATCAATGACAGTGGAAAAAGCTTCAAGAGAAGTAAATATCAGACAACTATATGATACATCTAATAAACTGGAAGGGAGATATAATAAACCGGAGAGACCAGTCAAGGACAAAGAGGGCCAGCTAATTACTGGGATTCAAGAGCAGAGGAAGAGATGGGTGGAAAAATTTTAGGAACTCTTGAACAGACCAGCTTCTTTGAATCCACCGAACATCGAAGCAGCACATAAATGCAGTCCCACAGCTTTCACTCCACCAACGATCAAAGAAATTATGATGGATTTCAGACAAATCAAGAGTGGGAAATCAGATGGACCTGATAGTATGCCAACTCAGTCACTGAAGTCAGACATAGAATTAGCTGGAACTCAAATCGACTGTCGACTAATATTAAACTCAGAATCTTCAATAAGAACCTTAATACAGTTCTACTGTATGGAGCTGAAACTTGAAAAACTACAACCATCGTTAAGAAGTACAATTATTTATAAACAATTGTCTTCGCGAGATAGTACATGTTTATTCAAATGAAGTGTTCGCCGATGAGTTTGACTGTGGCTTTTTTAAGGATGTGATATATTGTGCGTAACTTCGAATACCTCTTGTCGTAATGGTTTCGGAATAGACGGTTTCAGTCAACCTGTTGACTTGTCATATATTGCTTTTACGCAACCGAATTGAACTTCGAAGACCAACGAAGTCGTGTTATCGAACCGTAGTCTGCTTAATTTAACATTCGCCTTTAGCCACGTCGCCAGTTTCTGATATTCAATTTTAGCTGGAATGAGTCCGTTTTTCGTCGCTCTAGATCCGCTACTTCGTTATCATTGCCTTTAATATTGCATATACTAGACGTAAATTGGGAAATAAATTCTAACTGTCGAATTCGCCTCAGAGAATGATTATCTTGTTTGGTACTTCATGCTTCAGTAACAGATGTTATTCCGTCAACGATTCAAGAAATCAACTTGATCATCAGACAAGTGGAGTGTGGGAGGGCACCAGTTTAACCTACTGGCTGAAACACTGAAGTCAAATAAAGGTAACTGAAAACATGCTCCACATTCTTACTGGAAAGTTTTGGAAGGTAGAGCAAGTGCAGAGGGACTGGGAAGAAGGAAACCTCATCAAGATACTGAAGAAAGGAGATCTGAGCAAATGTAAGAACTACAGAGTCGTTACAATACTATCATTACCGGGAAAAGTTTTCAATAAATTGTTGCTGAACTGGATGAAAGATCTAGTAGACACCCAACTTTGAGATCGACAGACTGGATTCCTTAAGGATTGGTCGTGCACAGGCCAAATCGCAGCACAATGATCATCGCTGAACAATCAATTGAATGGAATTCGTCACTGTACATCAACTTTCTTGATTATGAGAAAGCATTCAATAGCGTGGATAGGAGAACATTTTGGAAAATAATTCGACATAATAGTATGAGAAGATTACCACCACCATTTGGAATTCATACGACTGACTACAGTGCAAAGTGGTGCATAGAGGCCAGCTGACAGATGCATACCAAATGAGAACCGGAGGCAGACAAGACTACCTACTCTCTTCATTTTTCTTCTGGTGGTTGATCGTATCATGAAAACCTCAACATCTAAGAGGAATCACGGAATACAATGGACAGCTCAGAATCAATAAGACCATTTGGACTTCGTAGATGACCTGGTTCTCCTATTCCATACACACGAACAAATGTAGATGAAGACAAACAGTGTAGCAGCAGTCTCTGCATCAATAGGCTCAACATACTTAAAGGAAAAAGGAAGATCCTCAAATAGAACACGGTGAGCGCCAAGCCAGTCATACTTGATGGCGAAACGCTGGAAGGTGTAGAAATATTCACGTACCTGGAAGGCATCATTGATGAACAAGGAGGATCTGATGAAGAGGTTAAGGCAACGGTTGCCAAAGCAAAGGCCCCATTCCTACAATTGAGGAACATATCGAACTCAACACAACCGTCAACCAATATCAAAATCAGAATCTTCAATACGAACGTCAAGACAGTTAGTTCTACTGTATAGAGCTGAAATGTAGGGAACTACCACAATCATCATCAAGAAGGTACAAGTATTTATAAACAATTATCTACACAATATACTCAATATCCGTTGACCGGATACCATGAGCAATAGCCTACTGTGGGAGAGAACAAACCAGCTTTCAGATGAAGAGGAAATTAGAAAAAGACTCTGGAAGTGGATAGGACATATATTGAGGAAATCACGAAGCAGTCCCTAACTTGGAATCGTGAAGGCAAACGGAAAAGAAGAAGACCAAAGAACACACTGAATCGAGAATGAGAAGCAGATATGAGAAGAATGAATAGCAACTGGAAAGAACTGTACAGGATTTCCGATTATGGAGTTGGATGGAGAATGCTGGTGGGTGGGCTATGCTCCTTCACGAGGGTTAACAGGCGTGAATAAGATGTCAAATCATTCTATTCTTAATCACTATTCATTTATTTGCAGCCACTTTATTGTATAATCAATTCATTATTCT